CTGCTGTGTGTGGGCTTCACCACGACGAGAGGCTCCGGGCCCTGCTGCCTGACTCCAGGCTGAGGGATGTCGGCCACAGCCCTTGTCTGTCGTTCCTTTGGTCGGAGACTTGACTAGGAGCTCGGACTGGCTTTTCTGAGGGGAGACAGTGAAGCCAAGATGGATACCGTGTCAGACATTTTGGTAGCTGAGCCATCAGTGAGGGCAGGGTCCACACGTGGCCTCTTATTGATTGTGTGGAAGGGCATTGGCCTGGTTGCAGCCTGAAAGGAAGGAGATCTCACACGTTAGAAGTTCCTCAGCATGGAGCCAACATGGAAATCAACCACATCCGGAGACAAGGTGCACACAGCAGGAAATTCTTAATACGGTATGGACAGGCGGTCCTTGGAAGTAGGGACAGATCCTCAACGTGAGTGCTGATCGGTACAAGACCCATGAAAGATGCACTGTCGTGCTGTGATCTAAGAATACCATTTTTCTAAAGACTGTGTCTTGGGCATTAACTGGATCAAAGCTCCTCCACTCAGCCTTCCGTGAAGTGGGACGGACTAATGCCCTTCTGAAGGCATGTTGGTGGCTGAAGGGTTCCCAGGACGTCTTTTCTGAAAACATGCATGTTCCTGGGGTTAGCCTCCTCCATGTTTGGGGCCTCTGAGGGACTAATTTCCTCAGGCCGCTAGGAAGATGTTGTTGGCATGCTTGCCATCATTGCGCAGAAAGAAAGCAACAGGAAATATGGCATCTTCAGATGCCTTCACCTGCAATCAAATGGACCTGGAAGGATCGTGGAGTCCCTGACCCCAAGAAGGCGGGGAAGCGGGATTCCCCGATCCCCTCACACACACGGGAACTTGAAAGGAAATCAACCAGGGTGACCTAGAGGAGAAAAAGACCAGGGGCCCAGGGTGACGCCCACCCTCAGATAATCACAAGATTCCATGGATTCTTTTCGATTTGGCAGCGGCTTCTCCGGAGGTTTCTCGGAAAAGATCTGGAGGAGAGCCTTACTCTGCGGGTCTTGTTGCCTGCAGAAGAGAAAAAGTTCAGGCCCTGCTCCCTGGTTCTCCCCAGGAGACAGGGAGAACCCTGTCTGGGGCCCAGTCCCGTTCTGCGCTTTGTGATACATAAATGATACTTTTGTGCCCTTTCCGCCTCTGCACCTTCCCTCATGTGCCAACCTTCCCATCCTCCCAGTGGCCCTCAAGGCTTTCCAAGTAAGGACTCTCATTTGGATTCCGTTGCTTTTTCCCCTGTCATGGGGAACCTGAATGAAGCGCCCCCGCCTCTCCCCCGTCCCTGTATCTCCCAGAGCCAAAGGAGCTCCTGGGTGGGGAACCCGGGAGGACACGGAGCTCTGGTCTCTTTCTCTGCATCGTTCCTTCCCTGACTCAGAGACGGAAAGGCACACGGTGTGTGGGTGCAGAGACACCGTGTCCTTAGGTGGCAGTACCCTGAGGGTGGTGAAAACCCCTCCCACTGCTCACCTTGGTCTCTCTTCCTTCTCTCCCTTTTCCTTGTTCAAGGGCCCCGGGTTCCCTTGAACCTGGGGCTTCCACGGTTTCAGGTTTTCCTTCCCTTCCTTTTTCCCAAAGGTCTGAGGAACCAGGGCTCCGTTCCAGCACTTCATGGGGCACATGGTACTTCTGGCCGTGTGGCCAAAGGCCCCGCAGTTTTTGCACTTGACCTGTGGGTGGAAAGGAAGTGATGTCAGTGAATGAGCTGAAGCCACAGGCAACGATCCAATGTCAACATTGAGACGGATTGTGAATTCAGAACTGAATGAGGATTCCAAAGAGGGGACACCGGCATGAGGGCCCTTAAGTGGTGGGAGGGTTCGGTTACGATGTTCCCTCCCGAAGCCCATGTGACGGAGGCACTCTCAAAGGAAGGACTCAGGGTTCTAGTGGTGATGATCGTGAACCCGATGTCAACAACACAGCCCAACCTGGCTACACAGGATTCTGAGTGGAAAGGGAGGTTGCTCCCAAGAGTCTCTCAAGGGACCTATCGGGCGAGGGAGGAGGTCCCAAGCCAGGCCCACCTTGGATGGGAAAAGCAACCCCGATGGCGGTGGCAGAACTCTTTGGAATCCAACCCAGTATCTGAGGACCGTGTGACACCCGCCCCCTCCTCCCCCCTCGATACCCAAAAGATTCCAGGGCTAGACGTACCTTGGGATCATCTTCATCGGGTGGGGGAGCCCTTGGCCCAACTGGGGCCCTCTGCTGCTTCTGGAGGGTCTGGGCTCTCACGAGTCTGTTTGTCCCACTTTTGGGGTCACGACGTGCCATCATCTTTGTGTGTCCTGGGCGTTTTATGGCCGCCTTTTTCAGGGGTTGATGGTTGGGTCACCTGAATCACACACAAACACACACAAAGCAGTGGTTAAAGACATTGGATATTCACACACCCACGAGAAACCCTCAGCTAATTCCTTGACGCTGTGGTCCTGAGGAGACTTCACCACCCGTCGGTCAAATCTGTGGATCACAATGTGGTGTGTGTATCCTCAGATATTGTATGTTCCTCTGCCGTGACTACCTGGTCCAAGAGTAAACCTCGCCTGCCACATGGCCCATGGCCTAGGTATGTAGAGTTGAGATTTCAACCCCAAGCAAACAACTGATTCTGGAGACTGGACTTAGGTCTATCACCATTCACTCCAGTAGAAGACACAGTGATTCTCTCTCCTCTGAGGGACAAAATAATCGAAGCTACAGGGCATGGCCTATGTCGCCCCTTGGCAGGTCTGCTTGAAGTCAGGGATAAGGGATGCTTCCTATCAGAACTTGAATTGCTACTCTTGCCGTTTCACTAGGCAACTTTCAAACACAAATTCATCTAGAGAAGTTATCTCCCTCTCTAGCACACTAGCAGGTGATGATCTTTCCTGCTCTGTCTTTTTGGCTTTAGCTCCAGCCCCTCTTTATTTATTTTTCTGGTATTTTACACATGCCATACGAATTCATCTAAACAAAAGCTGAACAAGTGGCATATGAATTTCTTACATGGCTAAAGGGCAAACGACCCCTTTTCCAGAGTTCTTTTTCCATTTACCCCCCCATTCAGCATGCTGGAGTAAATTTCTTTTTGCATTTCCATCTGGCTCTTATCCCAGCCACGGAGATGGAAATGTGTTCTCGCTTTCTGTTCCAAGAATTACCGGTAAGGAGAACACATCGTACCCCATCAGCGAGCCCCAGTGTGATCTGTTTCTTTCGGTCTCCTTTGTCTCTTTCCCCCCGACCCCTCAGGGATTACATGAAATGAATAGTCGTTCAGGGAAACTAACCTTAAATTACAGGTCTACTTTCTTTCCTCGGCTGGCACTCAGATGGACAGGTGCGCCGGCGCTCAGATGGGCAGGTGCTGGAGCAGCCCTGCTGGAAGCGATGCAGCCTTCAGGAAGCCGGAGGTAGGGGCGGAGAGGGACCTGTGCTTTCCAGGCTGCCTTTTATACTGCCTCTGCATCCCTAACGTGAAACCGACCCTAACCTAATCAACTTAATCCAATTACATGACCTGGAGAGGTCTATTTGCCCAGCCCACTCTAAGATGATATTCACTATGGACAGACATTCTAAAACCTGTGTGTACAGCTGCAAGCTTTGAAGAATAGATGTTTCCCGTCAGGTATGTAGCACTGGCACATGTACCCCTGTCTTATTTTACATCTTTTTTTTTTTTTTTTTCAAATAAGGTGCTAAAATAGACATAATGTAATTGGACCATATTTAGTCTATTTCAAGGTAGGCCTCAGTGCCATCAAGGCGGTTCACCTTGACATGCAATCTCGGCCGTTATCCATCTTCAGAGCCTCTCCTTCTTCCCCACAGTAAGTGCGTCAGCAGAAAACCCTGACCACACCCTCACGGGTTTTCTCCTCCAGGAGGCCCTTGGAAACCACCGTGACTTGGACTGCACTGGGAAACCCAGATGAAGAAAGTCAACACCGCTTTGTCCTTCGGTTCCTGGCTCCTTTTTCAGCTCGTCCTGCGGTTCCAGGCATTATGCCTGAAGAGTCTCCAGGACACCGGTGGGGCTCTATTTCCTTGGGTCCCGTTGCCATTTCTCTGGATTTGCGAAGATCCAGCGGACTTTCTGCGGAACTCTCTTGTCGGGGAACTTGGGTGCCTCGTCCCCTCATTCTGCCCTTCATCATCTGCACCTGCACGAGTTAGGGTCCATGTTCCTTGCGCGGGAAGAGACAGGCAGGAGTTGGAATGCTGAACTAGCACATTGGGGGCATTTTCTCACGTGGTCCAAGTGACCCGGTAGTCTTCTAGATCTTTTGAACCAATTGCGTCCCACTTGACACTACACCCGACTCTCAGTTGCTGAATCTTGTGGGCCCTCCGGCGATCTCCCGTTGGATGAGTTGCACCTGCTGAAACTCGATTTCCCCTGGATTTGCGCTTCATTAATTATTCATGATTCAGGTGGGAACATCTGCTTACATCCCCCTGCGGCTGTTCTCTGAGCTTTCTGGTCACATCGTTTCCTGCCACGCTCTTTGGTTCATTTTGGTCATGCTCCTTCTGCTGTCAGAGGAGCAGAGAGTTGATCTTGTTGACTCTGGATACTGATACGTTCTAGGTGATCTGGATAATCAAGGTAACGACCCTCAACGGCGGCGGAAAGGGAGCAGCCATTTGGCATTGCTCAGAAAATCCCACTCAGTTCCGAGGCCTCCTAGATGTGGAATCCTGGTCGGAGTTGTTCCCAGGTCAGAGAACGGAGATAGCCTGTGCATGGTGGGATATCTTTACCTAGAGCTTTCAGTGAGTCTTGACCTCAGCTACTCTTAGGATCAGGAGAAGCAGCATGGAAAGGCCCGGTGCTCAGGCATCCGGAAAGGAGACGGGATGAATATTCTACCTCTGAAGTACGTCCCAAATCTGGGAGTTTACTTCAGCTTTACTGGGTTCTACTTGGCGAATGAAAGTGTGCCTCGTTCATACGCACATCCGGAAACCACTTCATGGGGACCGTCACAGTTTGAACTCCATGCGTGGCATGGCGGTGAGCCAAATGGGGACTCGTGGTGCAAGCAAAACTCCCCACGTGTTAGCGTGCGTGAGATTCACTTGGCGGAATATGACTAGGTGCGTGTTGGTAGAGTGGGGCTGAGGTTCTCTTGAGTCTGTGGATGTTTAAGAAGTCAAAGGTCCTGCCAAGTCCTGCGGTCCCCTCAATCAACTCTGTTTCAGAGACATAATGACTTGAATTGCTAACAAGTCAAGAAATTTTCAAGCCCTTGGAAAATCAGTTCCACACAAACATGAAATGAAAGTGAAAAGAGAGCACGTCATCTTTTTGAGAACTTTATTCACTTCGAAACCAATTAAACACACCTATTTCCAATGGCATTCCACAGCCCAATTTTCCAGGCTGAGGAAACACCCCCAAGAACGCTTTGCGCAGAAGGCTTCACAGTGTCCAAAACACTACTGTCAGGGCGGGGCAGAGCTGAAGGCCTGCATCTCTCAGGGTTGCCTAACTGTTCCCTGATTCAGTCATCTAGAGAGCAAACACACAGTAATTCCCCAGTTTTCTACTGACATCACAGCGGAAGTCTGACTCCTGCACGTCGCCGTCACCCAGTTTCTGAGGCAACGAATCACTGGCACAGAAGCTTCTCGTGGCGGATTTCCGGAGAGCCCTGCAAACTACAAAGTCCCTCACCAGAATTCAATGAGGCAGAGTCTCTGCATGTGATCCCCGCCTGGCCTGGGCTCCCACATCCACAGAAGAACCAGAGCTGGGGAGCTTGGGAGTCACCACACACAGTCTGCTCTCTGCTCCATGCTCCTCAGTCCCACGGTCTTCTCCAAGCCACGGGAGCTGGAAGCCATGGAGCCCCTGCCACTTGCAGTCTCACTCCAGGTCACAATCGCTGTCCCCTGCAGAGAAGGAAACGTGAAGGTCCTCATAGAGGACACTCAGGGGGACAGGAACACAGGGAGCCTCAGACTTCTCTGAGACGTGAGGGCTGTGAGTGAGGAAGGCTCCCGGCTTCTCAGGAGAAGGGAAACAAGGAGCTGTCAGGAGGCTGGAGCTCCACCATCCGTTTTCCAGTCTCCGGAAGAGCATTCTGAGAGGCTGGGCCCCATCGTGGCTGGCCGCTGGGTGATGGGACATGGTGCAGGCCTGGGCAGTAGACAGTCAAGGTCTGTTGTGCGGAGGCTGCCGGTCGCTGCTGGGCACCTGTGCGGATGTCCTCCTGCTCATCTGGGGCGACGGACTTGAGTTCTATGGCAGCTGGCGGAGGTTGGAGAGTCTCCGGGGCCCCCAGCTCACCTCCCTGGATGGCATTTTTGGGCATCTGGAAGGGACCCATTCTCGGTTTCTTGGGGAAGTTCAGGCAAGCCTGAGTCAGAGCCTGGGCAGGTCTCTTGGCTCCTGGCCTGAAACTGAGATTGGAGCCGAGGCCCAAGCTGTGTGTGTCGGCTGGTGGGCAGGGCTGTGAGGTCACCGCAGGACGTTTGTCTTGTGCTTGGGGGCTGATGACCCGGATCAGGCCGTGGGGCTTGGTGGCAGCCTGGGGAACTTCTCAACGGCCACCCTGAGGGCTGCTGTGTGTGGGCTTCACCACGACGAGAGGCTCGGGGCCCTGCTGCCTGACTCCAGGCTGAGGGATGTCGGCCACAGTCCCTGTCTGTCGTTCCTTTGGTCGGAGGCTTGACGAGGAGCTCGGACTGGCTTTTCTGAGGGGAGACAGTGAAGCCAAGATGGATACCGTGTCAGACATTTTGGTAGCTGAGCCATCAGTGAGGGCAGGGTTCACACGTGGCCTCTTATTGATTGTGTGGAAGGGCATTGGCCTGGTTGCAGCCTGAAAGGAAGGAGATCTCACACGTTAGAAGTTCCTCAGCATGGAGCCAACATGGAAATCAACCACATCCGGAGACAAGGTGCACACAGCAGGAAATTCTTAATACGGTATGGACAGGCGGTCCTTGGAAGTAGGGACAGATCCTCAACGTGAGTGCTGATCGGTACAAGACCCATGAAAGATGCACTGTCGTGCTGTGATCTAAGAATACCATTTTTCTAAAGACTGTGTCTTGGGCATTAACTGGATCAAAGCTCCTCCACTCAGCCTTCCGTGAAGTGGGACGGACTAATGCCCTTCTGAAGGCATGTTGGTGGCTGAAGGGTTCCCAGGACGTCTTTTCTGAAAACATGCATGTTCCTGGGGTTAGCCTCCTCCATGTTTGGGGCCTCTGAGGGACTAATTTCCTCAGGCCGCTAGGAAGATGTTGTTGGCATGCTTGCCATCATTGCGCAGAAAGAAAGCAACAGGAAATATGGCATCTTCGGATGCCTTCACCTGGAATCAAATGGACCTGGAAGGATCGTGGAGTCCCTGACCCCAAGAAGGCGGGGAAGAGGGGTTCCCCGATCCCCTCACACAACAGGAACCTGAAAGTAAATCAACCAGATTGACCTAGCGGAGCAAAGACCAGGGGCCCAGGGTGACGCCCACCCTCAGATAAATCCAAGATTCCATGGATTCTTTTCGATTTGGCAACGGCTTCTCCGGAGGTTTCCCAGAAAAGGTCTGGACGAGAGCCTTCCTCTGCGGGTCTTGTTGCCTACAGAAGAGAAAAAGTTCAGGCCATGCACCCAGTTTTCCCCAGGAGACAGGAAGAATCCAGTCTCTGGCCCAGTCCTGTTCTGTGTTTTGTGGTAAATAAATGGAACTCTTGTGCCCTTTCCACCTCTGCACCTTCCCTCATGTGCCAATCTTCCCATCCTCCCAGTGGCCTTCTAGGCTTCCCAAGTAAGGACCAGCATTTGGATTCCATCGCTATTCCCCCTGTCATGGGGAACCTGCACGAAGCTTCCTCACCTGACATCGTCCTCCCCCAGCTTGATATCAGGAAGAAGTCTGTTGTTTATTATTATTATTAAATATAATATAAATTAATAGTAATCATTGATAGTAATAATCACAATAAAGATAATAAAAATTAATACTGGTTAAAAATGTTAATGATTAGTGTTAATAATAGCAATATCACTATTAGTAATTAAATAATCATATCAGCAATTAATGTTACTTAAGTCAATAGTAAGTGATGTTGGTTATAAAATAATGATTAATATTATGACTAGCATTGCTAAATGACATGAATATTAATAATTAATTTTAAGCATGCATAAAAATATATTTAAAATAATTATCCATAATTAATAATGGTATCCTATTAATTATTAGTGTCATCGATAATTGTTAAAATCAGTCATTGATGTGTAATAATTAATCATATTATTATTCCTAATTCTGCAGTGTGTGTACAGCTACCTGTGATGTCGTTCCTAATATCCAGGGAGGGAGAGCATGGTTTTAGTTTTAAAATCACAATAAGTGTACACTCATCCTGTGACACAGATCCTAATATCCAGTGTAGTAGAGTATGACATGACTCCCAATATAGCAATTAATAGGTAGCTACCCAGTGATATAGTTTCTAAAATTCACGGAAGGTGCATATGATATTAATCCCAATATCGCAGGGAGGGTAGAGCTCTTCTGTGTTATGATTCCTAATATCCGGAGGGGGAGAGGATGATAATAATTCCAGTGTCGCAGGCTGTGTTCACCGGCCCTGTGACATTGTTATTAATGTCTTGGAAGGGAGAGGATATTACTCCCAACATGGCAGGGGGTGTACATCCACCCTGTGATATTCTTCTTTATATTCCAAGGCCGAGAGGTTGATATTACTCCTAGTATCGCAGGCACTGTACACTCCCATGTTTTTAATCCCTGTGATATTGGGAGTAGTATCATCCTCTCCCGGGTGGAAATTAGGAACAGTATCTCCGGGGGCGTGTACACCCCCTGTGATATTGAATGTAATATCATCCTCTTCCCTCCTGGATCATGGGAACAACATCACTGGGGGGTGTACACTTTCTGTGATATTGGGAGTAACATCATCTTCTGTGCCTTGGATTATTAAGGACAATATCACGCGGGGACATGTGTACATCTTCTACAATATTGGGAATAATATTATCCTCTCTCCCCCTGCATATTAGGAAAGATATCATAGAGTGGGTGTTCACCTCCTGCGATATGGGGATGAATGCCATCTTCTCCCCTTCCAGATATCAGGAAGAGTATCACACGGGGGTGTACAGTGTCTGTGATACTGGGAGTAATATCAATCTCTCGGCCTTGGAATATTAAGAAGAATATCACAGGGTGGATGTACACCCCCTGCCATATTGGAAGTAATATCAGCCTCTCCTCTCCATGGATATTAGAAACAATATCCCAGGCTGTGTGTACGCCTCCTGCTCTATGGGGAGTCATATCATCCTCTCCCTTCCAGGATATTAATAACAATATCACAGGGCGGGTGAAGACAGCCTGCGATACTGGAATTATTATCATCCTCTCCCCCTCTGGATACTAGGAAACATATCACAGAAGAGCTGTACCCTCCCTGCGATATTGGGAGTAATATCATATGCTTCTTCTGTGAATATTAAGAGCAATATCACCGGGTGGCTTTCCATTTGTTGCTATGTTGCAAGTCATGTCATATTCTACCACCTAGATATTAGCATCAGTGGCACAGGGTGAGTGCACACCTACTGCGATATTAAAACTAAAATCATGCTCTCCGTCCCTGGATATTAGGAACAACATCCCAGGTAGGTGTACAGCCCCTGTGGTATTAGGAGTAATAATATGATTAATTATTAAACATCTATGTCGATTTCAATAATTATCAATGGCACTATTAATTAATAGGATACCATTATTAATTATGGATACCCATTTTAAATATATGATTATGCACGCTTGAAAATAACTAGTAATATTAATGTCATTTAACAATATTATTAGTTTTTAATATTAATTATTATTTTATTACCAACATTGCTTAGTATTGATTTAAGTAACATTAATTGCTAATACCATTATTTTATTGTTAATAATGATATTATGATTAATTGTTATACTAATCATTAACATTTTTTACCAGTATTAATTTATACTATCTTTATTGTGATTATTAATATCGATGATTGCTATTAATTTTTACTATATGTATTAATATTAGTAATTAATAGACTTATTCCTGATATCCAGCTGAGAGAGAATGATATTACTCCCAATATCGAAGAAAGTGAATACCCCTCTATGGTGTTATTCCTAATAGCCAAGGGGTAGAGGATGACATTATTGAAACTATCACAGTGGGTGTCCATCCCTTCGGTCATCTTGTTCCTTATATCCTGAGTGGGAGAGGATGATATGACTCCCAATATCGCAAGAAGTGTACAACCGCCTGTAATATAGTTCCTAACATCTAGGTGGGGAGAGGATGATATTGCTGCCCATATCACACGAGTTGTAAAACCCCTTCAATATTTTGCCTACGATCCTGAGGGGAGAGGATGATATTACTCCCAATATCGAAGAATGCGTACACCCCCCTGTGACACTATGCCCAATATCCACTTTGGGAGACAATGACATTACGCCCAATATCCCAGGGGATGTACACCCACCTTGGGATTTTGTTCCTTATATCAAGAGGGGGAGAAGATGCTATTACTCCCAATAACGCAGGGGTTGGGGCTCTACACCCCTCCTGTGTTATTGTTCTTAATATCCTAGGGAAGAGAGGATGATGCTACACCCAATATCGCAGGGGGTGTACACCCACCCAGTGATGTTGTTCTTAATGTGCTCCACCTCCCACCACCAGGGATATCATTCCTAATATCCAGGGGAAGAGACAATAACATTATGCCCAATATCGCAGGGGAGTGTACACACCCTCTGTGATGTTGTTCCTAGTATCCAAAGGTAGACAGGATGATGTTACTGGCCATATCGCAGGGGGTGTACATCCTTTTGTGATATTGTTTTTGACATTCAGTGAGGGAGAGGATAACATTAATCCCAATATCGCAGAAGGCGTACAGACCCCTGTGATGTGGTTCCTAATGTACAGGGGAAAGAGAAGAATATTGCTCTCAATATTGCAGGGGGTGTAACCACCCTGCCTCCCATATATTGTTCCTAATATGCAGCGAAGTGGAGGCTGAGAGTACTACCAATATCCCAGAAGGTGCACACACACCTGTGATATAGTTCCTAATATCTAGCGGGAAAGAGGCTGATTTTACTTTCGATATCGCAGTGGGTGTACACCGCCCGCAATCCCGGGGTATCGTTCCTAATATCCACGCGGGAAGAAGATGATATGGCTGACAATATCGAAGGTGGTGGACACCTTCTCTGATATGGTTCCTGATATCCAGGGGGTGAGTGGATGATATTACTCCCAATAAAGTAGGAACCGTACAGTCACCCTGGGATTTTGTCCTTAATAACCACAGGGGAGAGGTGATATTACTACCAATATTGCAAGGGGCGTCCATCCTCCTGTGATATTGTTTCTCATATCCAGGAAAGGAGAAGATGGTATTAGTACCAATATTGAAGGGATGGACAGCCCCCATGGGATATTGTTCTAAAGATACATGTGGAAAGAGGATGAGATTCCATCCAATATAACGAGGGATGTACACCCCACCTGTGATATGAGTCATAAAACCTAGAAGAAGAGAATGAAATTGCTTCCAAAAACACACGGGTTGTACACCCACCCTGTGATATTGTTCCTGTCATCTAAAGGAAGAGATGATGATACTACTCCCAGTACCGGAGAAGGTACACACACCCCTGTGATATTGTTCCTCATAACTTGTGGGGGAGAGCATGATATTACTTCCAGTATGACAGTGGCTTGACACCCAGTCTGTGATATTGCTCCTAATTTCCAGTAGGTAAAGTATGATGTTCCTGCCAAGAGAGTAGTGGCTGTACAGCCACCCTGTGATATTCCTTCGAATATTCAGGGAAACACAGGATGACATTATCCCAAATCTCCCAAAAAGTGTACACCCATTGTGTGATATGGTTGCTAATATCCGGAGGTGCAGAGGATGGTATTCGTTCTCCTGTCGCAGGCTGTTTACGCACAACCTGTGAAATTGTTCCTAATATCCTGAACAAAAGAAACTGCTAGTAATGGACACACATTGCAGGGGGAAGTAATTGGCTATTACGATCCACATCGCAGGGGGTGAGGCACTCCCCATGATATGGGGAGTAATAGCAACCCCCTCTCCCCCCTGGCTATTACGATCCACATCGCAGGGCAGTTCAGGACACCAGCCCTGCCCCAACCTTGACCGAGACAGTGGGTGTCATGGGACGACCTCAGGGTGGGTGGCGGCTCAGCTTGAAGATATCCCTGCTGCCAAAGACCAACTGTTCCTGCTAGTTTGAATCTGGCCACAGGGTCTCTGTTGGTGAGACAGATGACCATGAGGCAGATACCCTGAAATCTAGCACGACAGAGCTCAACGTCCCCATGAGAGACACCATAGCACACAGACTTTGCAGACATACTAGCGAAGGCCACAGCAGGCCCTGAGTGAGGAACAAGCTGACCAAGATCCTGGGGTTCTGCCACGCAGCCCTTAAACCAGGGACTGGAAACCTTTTCCCTAAAGAGCCAGGAGTCAGTATTTTCAGCTTTGCCAACTGATCTTTGTCTCAAGGATGCAACTCTGCCATGGCTACACCACAGCAGCCTTCTGCAGGTGGCCTGTGAAGAGATGGGCATGACTGTACCCCCATAAAACTTTACTTATGGACATGGAAACTTCTCAGTGTCATGAAGTGTCATTTTTTTATTTGTTCAACCATTTGGAAATGTAAAATCCATTCTTGATTCATGAGCCACAAGAGTAGGCGGGGACAGGCCGCCCCTTGAAAACCTCTGGAATGAGCTTAGAGAAGGAAATGACAGGCTGGGTCAGCGCAGCCTCCTCACAGCAGATTCGCTGCAGGAGGGTCTTTCGTAGCAACCACTTCTCATCCTTCATCTTGGCTTCAAGCGCAGTTCAGGTGGAGAAAGAGAGAACAGAACCGGCGTCAGCAACAAGAAGGAAGGAGATGCAGGGTCAAGCAGCCGTGTGGATCGATCACACTTAACATTCACACCAAACGCAGCACAGGCAGGACCAGCCCGGGGGGTGGGGGCACGAAGTGGAGGCTCTCTGGAGTGGGGGGCCTCTCGGTGGGCAAGATTCTCTACCAAAAACTCCAATAGAAGATCTACACAGCAGTAGTTACAGAAAACACACACTAAGAAAAAGGCCAAAATAAAAATAGGACACAAAGTTTGGCCAACCGGGTCTCACAAGCCAGTAGGTAAGAAAGCCCAGGAGGGCCCACCAGAGGAGCTGGGGGTGGGTTCCTGCCTGCAGGGGGCCTTGGACACCCCATTCCCACAGATGAGGACCCAAGCTTTGGGGAGGAAGCTGTCAGAGTCACCCAGTGAGCTGTTCAGAGCTGGAGCCAAAGAGCAGGTGAGGAGCCCTGGCCACATCCCCGTGTGCACTGAGAAGCTGGGGTGGGGTCATACCCCCAGGGGCCAATGCAAACAGTGGACCGCGGGCCCTCCTTCTGCCTCGAGGATGCTCAGCTCCCAAGGGACCACCAAGGCCTGGAACCCAGGGACGCACGACCTGACCATCATGCCCAGGCCTCCTGGACCAGGTAATGTCCAGTACAGGCAGGCAGTCTGGACTTGGGGCCAGGACAGGGGTGGATGGTCCTGCTAGGCAGGCCTCCTTCTCCCTACCAGCTGGGCTGGTTGCACTGTAGTTTCGGTTCTGGCAACATATTTTTGCCCACTTTGGCCACACCAGTCCCCGGCTTCCTGGCTAGGCCCAGTGCTGTCCAACCTACCTACACAGGCCCCACATACCGAGTGCCCACTAGGCTGTGTCAGCCAGGAGGACCCATGCTCATCCCCTGAAGTTTCCGTGGGAGCCTGCATCCCACAGGGACCCAGAGCTCAGGGCCAACCTCCATGGGGTCTTGGTTGTGGTGGCAGTTGTGGGGGGTAGTTGACCTCCAGCCCTCCCATCCTGGCCACTGTATTTTGCGGGGATCGTTCAGTCCTGGGAGCTTCCTGGGGACCCCAGAAGGAAGAGAACAGGGTGGTCATGGTAGCCTCAGCCCCAGGCTCTGGGCCCAAGTGCAACAGAAGGTAGAGAACAGGGTGGTCATGGCAGCCTCAACCCCAGGCTCTGGGCCAGATGTTGATAACGACCAATTGAGAGCAACCACTGAATTCGGTCCTCTTACAGATACACGAGAAGTTGGCGAAGAACTGAATGTCGACCATTCTATGGTCATCCAGCATTTGAAGCCAATTGGAAAGCTGAAAAATCTTGATAAGTGGGTGCCCCATGAGCTGACCAAATATTTTAAAAAGCATCCTTTTGAAGTGTCATCTTCTCTTATTCTATGAAACAACATTGAACCATTTCTTGATCAGATTGTGACATGCCACGAAAAGTGGATTTCGTACAATAGCCAGCTCACTGGTTGGACAGAGAAGAAGCTCCAAACCACTTCCCAAAGTCAAACTTGTACCAAAAAAAGGTCATGATCACTGTTCAGTGGTCAGCTGCCGGTCTTCTGATCCACTACAGTTTTTGAATCCTGGTGAAATCATTACATCTGAGAAGTATGCCAAGTTAATCGATGAGACGCATGGAAA